CTGGAAAAGTGTGGATACATTTGTAGTGTCATTAAACAAAAGAAATGATTATACAATCCAAATTTAGAGTCTAGTCAATTTACAATGCCGATGTATATAGGAAAATTTGTCATCTGATTTGCATTTACTAACCTTATGTATACATGAAAAGAGAAGATGAGAAAGAGTAAGAAAAGGCCCAAGGAAAATAGGTTGGGAAGGAAAGAAAGAAAAAAGGAAAAAGAAAAGGCCAAACTAAAACAGGGGCATTTATAAGAGAAATGATGGGTAATCAAGAACAATTTGAAAAAACATGTAATTTTCGCCTACAGATTACAAATTTAACATAAACAAATAAAAATATTTAATCCTGTAAAAAGCCAGGGAAAAAAAGTATGACAAAGTGGAAAAGTTTTTTGTGCAATACATTTCAGCTTTTAGGACTGCATTGGACTAAGTTTATGTTTATGTTGATGAGACTACACATGCGCACGAACGAAAGAGAGACACTGAGAATTTTTAATTTTAAAATAATTTTTTTTTTTTTAATATCTGTTTCGAGTATATAATCTATCTGATTTCATTTACATTCTTTTTTTCTTTATATTTTCATTACTTTTGTTATTAAATATCCCATATTGGGATAACAGAAGATCTGTCAAGAATGGTGAAATGTTGTAAGAACCTGGATGCAAATTTACTGTGGATAATCTAGCGATTAAAGCACTTTCTAAATATTATTTCAGCATAGTAAATTGTTTTGTCTTTTAATTAGAGTAGCATTTTTTAAATCAAAATTGTGGTCAGTCTTGTTATGGTGAGCAATTGATGCATTTAATATGTTGTTTTATAAAAGATCCCTTTTGTGTTCACATAATGTTTTATTTAAATTCCTTGAGGTTTCTCCTATATATTCTTTATGGCAATTATTACAGTGATAGAGTAAATTCCTCCTTCAAGTTTTAGATTATTATTTTGTTTTGTATTAATTGAGTCTTATTTTTTAAGATGTAATTTTGACAAATTTTATTTTGAGTTTAGATAAATTCTTTTCAATTATAGTTGTGATAGAGTTGGTGGGTAGAACAATATGTATTTTGATTTGTTGGGTTTGTCAGGAAGGACCGCTTTTCTATTTTTAAATATTTTATGAGCCTTTTATTACGCATTAAATATATATATATATATATATATATATATATATATATTATTTCAACAGTAAATATCAATATAAAGAACATGGTTACATGCAGTTCTGATTAGTATTATCTTTCATTTTTAGTAAATTTATTTTCACTAGTAAATAATGTAGCAATATTATCTTGCATTTTATAATTACATGAAGCATTTCCAACTACTATTAATTTTTTATCAGTATTTCTTTCATTGATATTTTAGTTGTTTTCATTGTAATTACTCAAGCTGTTTATTAACTATTGTAGGGAATGAACTGATAACTCCTAGTATACAAAGAACTGATACACCTCTATTAAATGGACTGTTCCAGTAGGAATATAAGCACCTATGGTGTTGGTCTCAGGGAGGCTTGCTTTGCAGCTTCAGATGAACTTGTAAATATCTACTTGTATTGTTCTTGTTTAAAATAAACCCTTGTGACGTCACTTGGTCCAGGGTCGAATCCTTTGGTCACGGCGCCAACTGTGACGTCGCTCCTCCTGGTCGCTCCTCGCTGTTCCAAGTGTGACGTTCCAACCCCTTGGTTAGATGATTACCAGCCTCGCCTTTCCCAACTCGCTTCCAATCACATGGTTACTAGGGTAACTGTACTGATCTCCGGTCTGCCTACCCACGTTGTGATTAGATCTTAGACAGACGGGATCAAACAGGGATTGGGGCCGTATGCAAGCTGAGTCGACGGGGGTGGCAAAACACAAGTAAAAGAAAAAACTCACGAGACCAAAAATTACTGATAAAAAGGGGTAACAACCTTTTATATCTAATGTTAGTTACATAAAATTATTCTTACTTCCCAACCGCTTTGTGGACTGTGGCACCAAGCTTCTATCATACAACAAAGACTTGAGTTGCCTACTCTCTAGAATTTTGTGTGTCGGAGTGTGGTTTTAGTTTTGACACTGGGCGCTAATCTCTACCAGTCGTTCACGGCTGATTCTTCTCTTCGGCTTGAGTTGGGCGTATTTCTTCACTTCGATTTGGTTTGAGACAATTTCTGTTCTTGGGCTTGGTTTGATTTCAACTTCTTCTATGCATAACTGCAAGTAACTTCTTCTTCTTCCGTCCTGCAACTCTTCTCTCTGCCGTCTGAGGTGATCTGAGCTCTCTGTCGTCCGGGGCTGAACTGATCTGCTTGTTTGGCCTGCAACTTTACTGCCTGTCTGGCCTGCAACTCTTCTCTCTGCCGTCTGAGGTGATCTGAGCTCTCTGTCGTCCGGGCTGAACTGATCTGCTTGTTTGGCCTGCAACTTTACCGCCTGTCTGGCCTGCAACTCTTCTCTCTGCCGTCTGAGGTGGACCCTTCTCGCTGCCGTCCGGGCTGAACTGATTTCTTTCGATTGGGGTTCTGCTTTTATTGGCGCCGCAACAAACTGGGGTGGGTCTGTCGGCGTCAGGGTTTTCTCGATAATTCAAAAAGTCGCATTATTTCTGATTTCCCATTATCGCTCTTATTTTCACCCTACTTCCTCACAGTGCCTCTGGTGGGGCACATACCCATCTCTCCCGGTCTCTCGTATGTCAGGTGACCGTTTTTACCAATGGGTCTTGATCGAGCGTCCTTTCTCCTCTTTCTACGCATATCATGTGACCGCTTTAGGCTAATGAGATTCTGGCTGGGCGTCTCCGTGCCGTGACGTCTCCAATCAGGCGTGGCTTATCCCGTCGTTGTTCTGGGAAAGAACCTAATAAAATCTAATTTGGCCTTTTTCGCACGCACAAAAAAATGACAATCTCGGCCTTTCTCACCTTCCTGGTTTCTGTCAAAACAGCCCGCTGCTAATTAGATGTGACTTCAGGAAGAATTTTCTCCGTCTCGCTGGCGCTTTCTGTGAGCCAAGAACAATTGTTTTCACCTCTTTGTTTTTGCTCAGACCTGATAGTCAAAAATCTTAATTATCTGAATTGAAAATGTCTTCACTTCATCATCGTGGGGGTTCTAATTTTTAACAGGTCAGAATCTGTATACAATTCCAGCGGTCACCTTCTCATCCCAAAAGTCACCTTTCTCCGATTAATATTTCGTTTTCCATTGTTCTAAAAAAATCCCATTTCTCCAAATTGATAATGAGTCTTCTACACAAAAGTAGGCCAGATGCTTTGACCGACATTTTTATCAATCGTATATGTTCATACACTTTTACCAAGTCCGTTTTCTTTCTTTCTTTTTAATTACCTTTAATTCTATTTCTCCAAATAACAATTTCCATTGTCTTTTGAAATTCGGTCAGGGCGTTGGCCTAGATACCTCTTGACACCTGTTTTTCGCTAATGACCGCCTTTTGCATTACTTATCCTCTTTCTCTTTTTTTTTTTTTTCTCTTTTCTTTTTTTTTTTCTTTTTTTCTTCCCTTAGGATCGCCTAAGTACAATTAGAGAATTATTCTCGAAACTCAATTATTCTTCATCTAAAAACTAACAACTGGTTAATAAACCGAATAAAAAAAATTAAATCATATTTCTATGAATATTTCTTTTTTTTTTTTTTAATTTTTCTAATAATGCAGGGTGTCACACCCTTATACTTTGTAAGTTGCCGTTCTCGTTATTATTTCAATAACAACCATGGAAAACATTACAAAATTAACAGATATGAGATGACAGGCTGAGTAATTGCAATGAAAAAACAACTTAATTTGAGATGAAAAAATATTAGTGAAAGATTAATAATGCCGGATAATTGTAAAGACTAGTAAAAATTTCATGGTCTTCTTATTTTAATATTCTGATGAATCTTAATTCTTAAGTTAATGATTGAGTAAGTCCATGTCAAATTCTATGACAATAAAATATCCATACAAATTTGCTTATGACATCATTAAATATTTGAGATTAACACATTTAACAAAATAATGCAATAATAATCATAAATATAAATGCTGGTTGTTATTTTCAGAAGTTGGTAAAAATGGAAAGATTTGAAGTTGACAACTTTTTCCATTTCACTGAAACAGCCGTTAAATGATTCTATTTTTCCTTCTTTCTTTCATCAATAGCCCATGTAACTTGAAGAGAAAATAATGACATAATCAAGATGTCAACATCCCATACTACTTCATATAAAAGGTTAGGAAGGAAACCTATATCACTACTGGAAAGAGTGATAACAGCTACTGGACTTAAGAAACCTATTTTCCTTAAAAGAAAGATTTTATAATTTTCAACTGAAAACAGTACTGGCTGCTTGGTCAATGAATGCAAAATGTTTTCTTGCTCTAGGGTAGGGGTTCCCAAACAGTTTGGTGGAAGAGGATAGCAGGTGAGGCAGAAGAGGATAACAGGTGAGGCAGAATGATTGAATGACAATCAAAGATTTAGAAACAGTTTAAAAAATTCATATGCCAAAAATAAATATAACTTCAAAATTTAAATTATCATTATGGATTACTTGTAATTGCATGCATAGGTCCCAGTATAAATAATTATTGACTGATTTTATTAGTGAGATATTTTGCATTATATCAAGTATTAAGAATATAGTAACTAAGGTCTGCAAATTGGAGGAGAGAGTTATCAATGATAATGTTCCTATTTCAGATCTGCAGTTATCTCCCTTTAACCCTCTCTCTGTTTTTTTTTTATTTTTAAATGTACTTTTTATCACATAAAATTTGGTGAGGCACAAGCAAATTTTTATTCTGAAATGGTGGCCCAGAGAAAAAAAAATATTTAGGAACCACTATACTAGAGAAACAACTAATATTACCATTACCATTACCATAAAAAGAAATTGGGATTGTGGGCATTAACACATTAAATAAACTCATTTCAGAGTTTGTAAATAGGATTTTGATATTTGAAAAAAAAAAAAAAAAAAAACTCCTTACAGAATGTCCATGAACAATGTCTATTTCCTCTCGAATGAAAATGTTTCTGAGCAAAGGCAGTGTTGTAAACATTGATGGCAGGATACACTGATTGTAAACTGGTGTGAATGGAATGTAGTACACCTGTAACAAGAAACAAACTATTTTAATTATAATATAGAGGAATTGAACTGCAAGTTATTTAGCACTTTTATGGACATACTTAGGTTTTTAAAAAACTTACATTACCTGCTGTCAATATGTGCATATCTCAGGGATGTGCCATCTATGTAGACAAAGTAGGCAGTGCCTACTTGAATAAAAGCAGCTATAAACATTATTTTTAGTAAGTACATGTATCCAGGTTGCTATCCCTGTTTTTTTATTTTATTAAACAGTGAAATGAGTAACAACTTGCCTAGATGAAGAAGTCCTATTAAATAAAAATCAAAGGTGCACTTTAGCTCAAAAAGTGGTTTCTCTGAGGCAGAAAAAGGATACAGGTTCGATTCCTGTTGGAAATAGATTTTTTTCTTTAGTAGGACTTTTAAATTCAGGCTGGTTGTTATTCATTTCACTGTTTAACAAGATAAAAAAAAACAAGGATAAGATCTTAACCACACATGAACCCACTAAAAATAATATTTATAATTATAAAGAAATATATGTTTGAGTTTAAGACTCTGCAAAATGCCAGTGCCTAGCAGTGCTGCATTATAAATTAAATAGAGTTTATTACCATTTCCAAACCTATGTAGATAGTAACATCATATACAATCAGTTTTGTGACATATTCTTATCATATTGTGTATGGGAGAGTGCTGTTTAGCTTAGTTTGTACTGTAGATTAACTAACTGAAACCAAAATGTCAGTGCCCATGAGGAATTGAAATCAGCATCTTTATAGTTCATTTATTTCCAGTAAATGGCAATTTCTTGTATTTCTCAAAAATGGGACAGAACAGCCAGGCAACAATGTTATGTGAAAGTGTTAAGTTTCTTGATATTCTAAAGAAATGTTAATCATCATCTTGCGGCCTCAGCCGAGTTGAACTCACCAATACTTTGATGGGTGTAGTTCATAATCTTGTCAAATAGCTGAATTCTTGATGCTTCGCTAGGGCTATCAAGGGTGTTTTTATCATGACACTATCACTAAATGGATTGCCAACCAAGGCTCAGAGAGACTCCATTCACCCTCATCTAAGAGCAGGTTTTGAATTCAGAGTTTTCCTTCTCCTAGACCAGTTGCCATCCAAGGCTATAGAACCCAGTCCGTCCTGCTATTTACCCATAGCTGGAGGGAGAAGAAAGAGGATTCACGCCTTTCCCAAGGGTATTAGCACGTAAGTGAATGTAATGGATTCGACTGGAATTCAAACTCGGATCTCTGATTCCTCAATCCAAGCCGCTATCCATTACTCCACCGTGCCTCCTGTTAATATCAATCAGAAAAAAAGTATTAATAGGTTGCACATTTTTAAATATAATGTATATATATATATATATATATATATATATATATATATATATATATATATAATTATGTTAATTATAGCTCTGTAAAGCATTAAATAGAAGACAAGGAAAAGTTATCCAAAAGAATCGATGTATAGGGGATGTTGGGATTCCTCTATCCAGGTTTTAGTCACTATCTGAGTGTTGGGATTCCAAACATTTAACAACAACAACACATTTTTTAAATGAAACATAAAAAGATTATTTTCTGAAGGAGAGGTAGAAGCATAATGTCAGTTGAAATAATATTTATATATTCTTTTCAGAAATATACAATAGCAATAAAATGTTCAATTTTTCTTGCAGTAAAGTTTGTTTTATCAAATAATTAAGTGTCCTTAGTGCAGTGTAGGATGTGTGGACAGACTTACTTTATGATGGTCAGCCTAATGTATTTGTAAGTTCATAGATAAAAGGCTTAAATCAGCAGTTGCTGATTAGTCTCTTCTATTGCGTGAGTGGACAAGGCCTTAGTCTTCCATTGTGTGTGTGTACATGTAGATCAAACTGACTTCCAAAATTGTTCTGAGCCTTAAGAAGCATACTTCTATTCTTATATCTGTAAAGGGATTCAAAATCTAATTTCACATAGAAGTGTGAACTTTTTAAATATAAGGTTTTCATTGGTTAGAAAATAATTCTCATTTGCAAAATTTTTTTTTCTTGAATTTGCAGAAGTGGTGAAAGGAATTATTGTTATTTTCTAAATGGTCCAAAAATAACATGTGGTAGGTCTACAACTACATCCACAAATATTTTGGCAGTATTTTCCTTGTAATATCGAACCTTCTGCTGTGATTTTATTGGTTGAGATATATATATATATATATATATATATATATATATATATATATATATATATATATATATATTACCCTTTAATAATCATTATTGATGATAAAATTATTTGAATTGGAATAAACCTTGATAATTAGGTATCAAAAAACAGTAACAAATTTAATTTATGAACAAGAATCAAACGAATAGATGTCAACTTAACAAGCTATAAGAAAAAAGTTTAGGAAAATAAAAGGATTACTAGATATAAAATGGATTATCATTTCAATGTACTTTCTATGATTTTTCCAATTGACTATTTCATAGAAAATACCCAAAACTTCAACGAACTTCAAATTAAATTCGTTGTAGATTTTTTAGACATTTAGATTTATATCAAACTGTAACCCCCAAAACTGTCCCTTTAAAGTAATGCGAAATAACAGCATCTAAGAATTTGAATGAATCCTTATTTATTATTTTATTGTTAACTGTATCTTCCACCTTTAAGTCGGTCTTCTCCCTCACCCCTTACTCATCTATATCTAGATAGCATGCGTTAAGTTAAGCGGCGTCTAGCCTACACAGAGTGGGGTTAAGGATAAGGAATTGAAAATGGTACATCTAACTCACTCATATCTTCTCTCCCACCTCACTTCGTTAATGTCACATACGCTTGGTGTGGTCCATCAAAAATGTGTAAGTTTCTTTTCATTTTAACTTTTGGAAGTAAAGTCTGATGATCCAGAGCCCTTTAAAAGGGTTGTGGTGAAATAACTTATTACATGGAACCTTAAAGTGATCTGTTTTTATTCAAACATATATATATATATATATATATATATATATATATAAAACCAATTCAATTACATTGGCCTCTTTGATAATTTTAAAGGTATTAAAAAATCTATTCCAAAATATGTATTTTTATATTAAATGTTTTGAACTGAAGATTTCATACAAGAAAGAGGAAATTTCTTTTAAAGTATCAATGTTTTTGTAAACACTTGAAAATTCTGGTAAGTAAAAAAGACAAACAAATGTAGCTACTACATATCACCACACACAAAGGTAACTTTCAATTTTTGAATACTTCAAATATTTTATGAATTTATCATTCCTGTATCAATAAGTCATTTATGAAAAGACTGATTGTAAATTTGATTTTACTTCCAAAATAACCGTTCAAATGAACTAAGAAACAAGTAAAAAGGAAAGGAGCAAGGAGAAAAAAATACAATGTGCTGTAACTTTACCTTAAGACCATTGGTCAAGTAGCGGACACCTTCACGGCCTTTGTAGAAGTGGGTCACTATAATGACCTTGTGACCCCGTTCTATCAAACATTGGGAGAGTTGATATATGTGGCTCTCCACTCCACCCATGTTTGGATAGAAAAAGTCAGAAACCATACTGAAAAATAAGTGGAGATAGAAAATATAAAAAAGGGGAAGTAACTCTGATTTTTATGTCTTTTTATTTACTTTTGAGAGGTATATTTTAGTTTTAGTTTTCCATTTTTTATGCAGTGGTTGGCGAGTTCTCTCATTTTTAATTTCAATATTTTGGCCTTAAAGACAAGAGGAGAAAATGGTAATAAAATTAAAGCAACTAGTCCAAAGGAAATTATATTCTAAGTTTTATTCCCATCATCCACAAAACATGATCGGAAAAATTATGCTTACTGACAAAACAGTTGCATACAAACAATGCTAAAATGAGTTAATATAAGATATATAAGATAATATAATAATTTAGAACATTAAAATAACATAACAAATGAAATTAGCACATTTAAAATAACATTAGCAGTAACATTGGCTCATTAACATGACCAGTGACATTAAAATAACAGAAACAATGATATTTATCATTAAAATAACATAAATAGTGACATTAGATCATTAAAATAACATAAGTAGTGACATTAGATCTTCTAAATATCATAAGTAGTGACATTAGATCTTCAAAATATCATAAGTAGTGACATTAGATCTTCAAAATATCATAAGTAGTGACATTAGATCTTCAAAATATCATAAGTAGTGACATTAGATCATCAAAATAACATAAGCAGTGACATTAGATCATCAAAATAACAATTAGAAAATTAGACTGAAATTCTGGAGACATGCAAGATTGTAAATATTTTGTTGAATGAAACCAGTTTTGGTATGAAGCTAAGTTCAGAATCTGAATTCTGAAAACCTTTGTGAAAATCAAATTCACTGGTAATGTCATGCCTGAACAATTACTACAAGATGCCAGAAAAAAAAGAGAAAAATTATTTACTCTTCTACAAAAGTGTAGTATTACCGTGTTTTGGTAACATAAAACAAGGATGTCTCTTCCGATGAGATTTATTCAACCTTTACAGCAAAGCGATCCTAAGAGAACTGAAAATCCTACCAGCATTTATTATTGGTTGGCATAAGCTTAAACATTTGTTTGTTTAGTGGCATATCAACTCCTTATGGGTCATTTAATGCCAAAATTTAATTTTCTTTGGAGCATTAATTTTATTTACAAAAATATCTTTTTGTTAATTTTTTAAATTTTTTTTATTTTTATTCTTTTTTAAAAAAATGTAGTGCTGGTAATTTTTTTTTATTATGAAAATGTATTCTTGGCATTTTTACTATAAAATTTTTTATACTTTCATAGTGTCTTGATCCCTGTTTGGGAGTTAACTATTTGCCAATAGCTGGGGTTTTAACAAGTGCTACCATCCCAGGTCAGAGTGGACCTTGGAACAACAGCAATTAAGAGGTGGTTCCA